ACACTCAACAATATTTGATAGGTTTTATCACGCACATCAATGCTGCCAGATGTGCTTTCCTAGTACAAAACTCAATAACGCAATCATTTCTGGTGATAACTTCCCACATAATTTTTCATAGGACACGAGATGTTACCATCAATGTTTTGGCTAAATTCACAGAGATAATGACAGCATGTCTGACTAAATGCCTCCTGTAGTTCAATTAGATGATGCATTCATTTTTACTTTCTATTAAACTGTTTAATTTTACTGCATGTTATTAAACAGATGTTATGTTCCATACCAGAGATGACTTTGCTTTGGTTACTGACATTCTTAACTACAGCACTGAGAGGATTAAATAGGTAATACTTCTAGAACGCTTGAAGAATCTCGTGTGAAAGGTTAGACACGAGTAAAAATATTAATTTCTTTCTTCTAAAGAACCTAAACTGATTTTTTTAAAATTACATCCTAATTCTAAGAAATCTGCATAGTTGTAAACCAGTATTAAGAACCAAGAAAATTAAAAATGGCAGTACTGCAAGATCCTGGGTGTTACTACAACACACGTTCCCCTCTACTGTGCAAAGTATATTACTTGTGTGGGATAGTGGGAAGGAGGCTATGGCTTAAAGGGAAAAAGTAATTGGATTTCCATTACTTTATATATTATTGTATTGTGCACCGTGATACTATTAACATAGCAAGACACAGCAATTGGAAAAGTGCACATTTTCTACTTGGACAGCAAAGAAGGTAAAGAGTTCTTTAAATATATACCATCTTACCTTTAAATAGTGGTTTACCATTTAATAAGGATAGGCAAATTAAATGCTTCAACCCTTTTTGTGTGTGGTTTTCAAAAATAGCAAATAAAATTCTTTCAGTGACAATGAAATGCTGTTAATTAAGATATCTAAACTACAGGCTTTCAGGAAAAGGAGAATGTACATGCTGGAAAAGCTATAACTACCCAACCTTATGTGGGGATTGCACTAACAAAACTGAAACATCAGTGGTTTGGGGGACATACACTGCTATACATAACAAAGGGATATAAGGCTAGGAAAGGAAATGGGATTTTAGCTCAATTGTATTGTTTTTCTGACTCTTACCCAAACAGTCCCCTACACAGGAATTAGCAAAGTTCAAGGAGGAAGGAAAAAATGGAGAAAGAAAAAAATAAGTGACAAACCAAGAAAAATGAATGTGATGCAATCAGTAAGATTAATAGGGAACAGGGCAAACTTCAGTGAATAATGTGTCTGGTTCATCAGAGAAATAAGGGACACAAATATGCAAGAACGGTTATATAAAAAATGAGAAGTAGTTAAGAATCAGATAATATTAAAAGAGGCATTTTATAAGGATTTATACATTCCATTTCCTCCATAGAAATCTGAGATAAATCAACAGCATACAGTCCTTCTAAAAATATTTGAAACCTTAATTTCAATGGTCTAACTACATTTTCAAGTCAATTTCATTTTATAATTATACAGTACTTGCATTTTATAATTTATGTTAAATTTGCTCTTTGTACAGCAAGAAATTTTGTTCTCTTTCCTTTGCAGCCAATAGCATCTTACTAATTACACAGGGTTTGGGGGGTTTTTTTGGCGCTATTAATTCCTAAACATCAGGGCTGTCAATTAATCACAGTTAACTTATGCTGTTAACTCAAAAATTATGATTAATCAGTTTTAATTACTGTTAAACAATAGAATACCAATGGAAATGTATTAAATATTTTAGATGGTTTTCTACATTTTCCAATATGTTGATTTCCATTACAATACAGAATACAAAGTGTACATTGCTCACATTTTTATTACAAATATTTGTACTGTAAAAATTATAAAAGAAGCAGTATTTTGAAGTTCACCTTATACAAGTACTGTAGCGCAATTTAGCATAAAAAAGCAACTTACAAACCAAGTGCAGGCTTTCTGTTACATAACCAAACTCAAAAATAAAACAATGTAAAACCTTAGAGCCTGCAGGTCTACTCAGTCCTGTTTCTTGTTCAGCAAATCACTCAAACAAGTCTATTTACATATGCAGGAGATAATGCTGCCTGCTTCCTGTTTACAATATCACCTGAAACTGAGAAAAGGCATTTACATGGCACTGTTGCAGCCAGCATCACAGGGTTTTTATATGCTAGATATAGAAAACATCCAAAATATTTAAATAAATGGCACTGTATTATTGTTTAACAGCGTGATAAATCACAATTAATTTTAAGCGCTCAACTAAACATTAACTGAAGTACTTCTGTTCCCAGTTACTACTATTGGGAGTGAAAAATTTTAGTCCTAATTTTCCTTTCCATTACTGAGGGCAAAATGACAGCTATCCTAAAGGATACAGAAGAGAAAAGTGATGCTGCAAGGAAATTTTGGTTCCACTAGAGTACCACTCATCGGGGACCCCACAAAAGCTCCTCTCCTGGAGATGTGGAAGACTGGTTTTTCATTGTTATCATCTTCCTACTCCCTATCTTCATCATTAGACTACCCAGATTTCTACTGAGAGACTCCATGCAACTATGTCCAACTCATTCTTCAACTGGTAAGAGAGTCTGTTGTTTATCACCACAGCACACTCCTCTAGGGCTCTAAACACATTTCTAAAAGATTCTATGTCTGTTTAGGGCAAGAGAAACTGTGGGACCAAATTTAGTTCCTGTGCAATGCTCCTGAAATACCTGGTTGAAAACTTGGGTCTCCCACACGGTAGTATACAGATCACATTAGGACAATGGACTGGAGAAATCCACAACTTTTATAGCTCCTATAATCAACCGCAAACACAATTTGTTTGTCCATGTAGTCTCTCCAGAAACAAAATTCCACTACATAAGACATTGCCTTGTTAATATTCAGGAATGGTGATGTTAAGAACTGTCAATACTGGTTTGAGAACTTCACCCTCTCAACCCTGTATTGGCCTATAACAGTGAAACTCCATGCATCAGACCTCAGACCAAACTCCCTTGTTACAAGTGAGATGTTTGCCACATTTTTGCAGCTACTTTTCCTCAGAATAACCCCAGGAATAACTTGGTGTGGCTGAGGAGCTAGAAGAAAAGGAGCACATGGAAGAAACACACAGACATATCAACCACATACTACAACTGTGATTATGAGGAATGTTCGGAGAACAGTCATAAATTACTTGTATGCTATGTAGTTTGTTAGCACTTTAATACTTAAGGTGATGGGAACATGATAAATATACTCAAAGTTGTCTAGAATTTTTCCAAAAGGAAGCATATCCAACTCAAATATCTTAAGTTAACCAGCACAGTTCATAGAGAATAGAACCACCTAAACTTTGCAAATTTAACATTTTTTCATAACAAACACATATCCTTCTCTAACAAAAATTGTTACTATTCAACAGTTAAAACAAAACGTGTTAGATGAGATTAAGAAATGCTCACTTGTATGGTTTCTGAGGCAGGATACTGATTCGAGTTTTGTCAAGTATCTTCTTAAGTTTGTTTCTTCCTCCAACAGTGTTGGCTTTACTTTTCTTATTTACTTTTTCTAGTCCTATCACCTGCTCCACATCAACAGCAAGGTCTGGGATAGAATAACGACTGGCCTTTTTAATATCACCAATTTTAGGCAGATGGGGAGCACCATTTCTTTTCTCCTCAGACAATCTTGTTAGAAGTTCTTTAAAAACTGCACAAGAAGAAAAAAGAACAAACACCATATTCTCAAAGAAAACTGTCTATGAAAATATAATGAAACCCCATGCCAATTTACTGATAAACATTATAGAAAAGTATTCTCAGCAAATTATATCATTAAAAAATATAGCCTTGATTTGAGTGTCAAAATGTTTATTTGCCATTTTAAGATTGTCCATCCTCTGTCATAGTAAGAGAGCAGCTACAGTACAAGTAAAGGGGTTTTATCCTACAAGGACTTACAGTTAGGTATAGTGCTGAGTCCCACAGTCCGACTGAAATCAATGTATTGAATCACTGGGATCAGACAGGATCAGATTCCAAATGTTCATGCACAAATAGACATTAGATTTTTGTGACTGGGATTTGCAAGTGGGATTCATCTTTCTTCCCCTCAGGTAGACACATTAACTGCATTTACTCTGAGGAAGGACTGAAAGAATGTGAGCCAGGCAAAGTACAAAAAGGAGAGGCAAAGACAAATGAAATCTAAGTTTCAAGAGCAGTCTGTATCCAGAAGAATGTTTGTTTATATGCATAGATGCGTGAGGAGGTCAAATTAGAGGATTATAATGGTTCCTATTATTCTTAAAATCCTAAGGAACAGTATAATGTCTTTATATGTGAAATAATTTGTACTGTAATGAAAATTAATCTAAAAATTAGTTGCGTGCTTCCTCAGCAATTTCCACTTAAAAGTGCTATAAAAATGCTTTGGGGACCTAAAAATCTTTTTGTGGTTACTCCTTTTCCTTTCTTCATTATAAATTACTTCCACGCATTATGTGTATACAACACAATGGACAAAAATAAAGGCTTAATTTGAAAGATTCAATATAGGATTGCCAGAGTAAGATCAAAAGAAAAAGAGGCTTTCAAACCTACCGAATAAGTTGGTTTTCACAGTGATAGATAAATGAGTATTATTTCTAAGAATTTCCATGGCTTTTGACAGCTGAATGTTTTCAAAATTTTGACCATTCACCTCCAGTATCTAAAAAAAGTCCACACAACAAATTACTAGTTTTATTCAATGACCCACGGTTGCATTAGAATTTCTCTCACTCAACCTACAGAGAGGTATGAAACAGGTTACAATTGTAGATTTATGACAACACTCATGGGGAAAAAAGAAATAAAACCGCCCAACTAAAGATGAGAGAATACACTTGATACCCTTTAAAATTATGTACCTGGTCACCACGTTTCAAGCCTGCTTCTGTGGCTTTACTGCCTAAATCCACACTGTCAACAAAGATTCCAAATCCCTTTTCTGACCCTCCCAGCAAGATAAAAGGCAAAGGGGCTTCTCGAGATGGCTTTGTCAATGTTATCAATCTTCGTTTAGCTTTAGCAGCACATGCAATATTTAATAGCCTCAGATGTCCACCCATTTTCTGCAGGGGGAAAAAGAAATGGTATAATGACGACACACAATAGCCTCAACACTTGTACTTCCCAAAATCTTTTTCTTACAGAACTCCATTAGTTTTACCTCTCTTTCCAAATTGTTCTCAAATTCCTCTAAAAATCGAGTCATAGCAGGATCTCCTTCAAAATCATTGAAGTGATTGTTCACCCATAACAGTACTACCCGTGTAACCTGTAAGACAATTAATATAAAACTTTATCCAGGAACAGATGCAGAGAACAACTCTATTTTTTAAGCTTTTAAATAGGTTATTTTCCAGTTTCCATGTATTTTAGTTGTGAAAACTGAAAATTTTGTTCAAGGCCAACTCTTCTGACATACATTTTTACCAGCAAATCACCAAGGAGAGATAAAATGAGCCAAAGACCTAAAACTATGCTTAAAAACTTCGCAGTTGTTTAAAATGGTAATGTTGGTTTCATTCAATTTGTCAGAAGGTAGAACATTAAAACTGCAGGAGTAGAGCATTTGCCTAGTTCACTGCAATTCCTGATGTGAACACAAACAAGAATTGGTGCTGAAACCCTCTTATACTTGTGTTGTTGTGGCAGTTAATCAATGAACTATCTATTTTCTTGCATTTTAAGAGAATGACAAGTTCATAAGAAGGCAGGATTTACTCTGCTCTATTTTAAATCGTTCAGTTTTTTATTCTCTAGGCTTTAGACAAAAGTGCCATTAACTTCATTAGGCATGTATTTCTGTAACAGAGTGTAAAATAGGTCTTTACCGAAGACAGAAGAGATAAATTAGTTTTATTAGTTACTGAATTTATTCTTAATTGTCATCTCTAGAACAGGAATTGAATTTCTTTTTTACTGTAACTTTCTGACACCTATGTTGATCAGCAGTTTGGGCAAGATCCTTTCGTTCCATCCCATATTTTAAAACTATAATTAAAGACTGTACTACAGTAAAAGACTCTTTTGCAAGCTCTACTATAGTTAATCATTGTCAGCATTTCAAGCACAATACAGACACCTGTAAACTTTTATTCTAGCCTGCAACTTGAGCAATGAAGTTTCAGTCAGCAGCATTTTCCTCCCACTGATTTAAAAGCAGATTTGGTTCAATGAACATTTATGTTCTTAAAATGAAAAACAGTAACCCAAAACTATGACGGGATTACTTCTGTCACACTGGCAGAAGTTACAGAAAAAAAAATACTAACTATTCACCAATAGCTGCTTTTCACTAATAAAAACCTGTGCAAACTATAATCATGTAATGACAATACAACTGACTCTTGCATGGACTTACACAATACCACAGTCACTGCAGTCTTTTGTGCCAATGATCTGAGATTAAAGCATCCACCAATAGACCTTAACATGAATTGGAGTTGTATGTCTATTGTGTTAAGGATTCTTCACGTCCTTAAGTACATTCCTACTCGTCTACAAAAACAAGCAAATTTAGCAAAATTGCTCAAATTCATAACACTGAGACTAATTAAATATTTTAGGCTACCTCTTTTGGAGGTTCCTAACAATGAGATAATGCATGTCTGCTGCAGTTCCTAATCAAATGATGTAGGATAAAGACAGGACTGTTGCCTTAACACTACACTGCCATGCTTTTAAAACAAGTCACACACTAATGTGGCTTCAGTCTTTTTGCAATTTTATGGATACAGCCATTCCCTGACTTACGAACACACTGACTTACGACCATCCATACTTATGATCAACCTCCCATTAACCTCATTATAATATTTTTGAGTTGAGAACCATGTAACGTCAAGTTTTTCTAATAGCGCAGGAAGCACGTTTAAGGATATTTCCAACTTGCGACCAAATCGAGTTACGACCAGGTGTTTGGAACGTAACTCATTCGTAAGTCAGGGACTACCAGAACATAATTCATTGTTTTAATTGAACAAAACTTGGAATTTCTGGCTTGTAAATACAAGCAACCAGAGACTCTAAAGTTTAATTTTTTAATTTGAAATATACAAAATACTTGTTATATTGTAAAAATATTGGCTGAAATTTAATAAAAACAAACCAAAAGTATATAAAAAACGGCTTTACAAAAATCTTTCAGCACACTCATCTACATTTTAGTGGGTTTATTAATTTTTTTGTTCAGTGTGGCAGGGTGGGACAGAGGAGAAGGAATCTGTTGAGATGAAGATTTCACACTTTTCCTTTCTGACACAGAAGTATAATCAGTGCCTGTGGTCCTCAATGATTTCAAGGAATTACTTTGCTATCTTAGAATCACTGCAGAATCAACTATGTACACAGAATTACTACATCTAAGGCTTGGAATTATAGTTTTTAAAAAGCCTCCCCAACTCCCCGGTCAAAATTTTTTTCATTAAATACATTCTATATTTTAAATGAGCTACTTAACTTTTTTTAATGTGTGTTGAATGAAGATAGGTGGGGAGAAATTTCACATTGTTTTCATAATATTAAATACTATGTTAATCTATTAGACAAGAATCCATAAGTTTTCAGTATCAACGTCGATTTTTTTATGAGAAGGTCTTATGCAGCGTATAACAAGAACTTTTTATGAAAGGATTTAAATGTATTGATTAGCATACATTTAAATTACAAAATGTGTGGTTATAGACTAGAAAGATAAGTATGCAAGAAAGACAACGCACGTTAAAAACTATTACAATTTTTTTCCTTCAATAAATATAGAGGAGATGACAGAATGAGATAAAAAGAAAAAAGGGGGGAAGAAGAGGGACTAGACATATAAGTTTGGGTTCGCGATAGAGCAAGGACTAGTGCTGAAATATACTACAGTGATAGTTTCATTAAAGACATCACTATGGATGTCGTAAATGACAAAATGAGTTTTGCACTGAAAAGAGCTGTCTACCAATGGACAAAGGGAGTACAGCTGCTCCCTGAGTTACGGACCAACACTTGGTCCGTAACTCGAAGTATTCGTAACTCGGATCTGCATTTATCACCACTTTGGTCGTAAGTGTGGACGGTCGTAAGTGGAGGTGGTCGTAACTCGGGGAGCGGCTGTATATACATATATTACACATTTTTAACCCCGTGTTCAAAACAAAGTTAAAACTGCAAAGCCAAGTATCCAAAAGTTAGCAAAGATCATTTTGTGAATCCTCAACTCAGCCCCCTTATACATCTCTCCCCAATGAGCTCGCAGTCCCAGTCTTCTTAGCTCAATTCCCAGTTCCATTCTCCCATCTCCTCCCTTTGTAAGTGCCTGGGATCAGTATCCCCAACTCCCAGGTGTCCCTCTCCTAATGTAATCACCTTTGTCCCTACATTCCCAGGTCTGACACTTGCCTCTCTGCATTTGAACAGAGGACCTGCCTCCTCCACACTGTCTGGGTTTCAGTAGGTGGTTCTTACTTAGCACCCAGATAAGATGGGTTTATTGTTTTCAATTTATGCACCAAATGCTGGAAAATTCCTGCTTGGACCAGGCCTGGAGCTCACTCAGTGCCGAGAGAATCTTCTGAGAATATGTCACTGAAGCCCAAGGAAATCCACACTAAAATTCTGGGAGTGGCTTTTCATACTATGAGATTTAACAGTTATTTCGAGAGAAGGGTTTCCTCTTGAACTAACACTGCTACACGGGGCATTTTATTTTGCAATAATGCGATTTCAAAATGACGGCCGGATGCGATTATGCTAATTAAGCGCTGGATATTTAAATCCCACACTTCATTAGCATCCCTATCTCAAGATAGGGAGCAAGTGTAGACATACCCATTGATACTTCTACAAGCAATTATTTAATATGGAGAGTTGACTGGTTTCTTGATTGAGAAAATATCTCCACCACCCCCGAGTTAGTGTTTAATGGTAGTACCTAACACTTTTTAAATAACTATTAGCCGGATTTAACATTCATTTTCGATAGCTTCATATACTATTAACTGGTGGTTCAACTAAATTTAGTTATCCTGGTTTAAAGATAAAAATATTTTGTACATTTTATTTAGTTCTTAATTATTTATATTTAAACATAAGCATGTTCACAATTATAAGTTTTTTCAACCTTATCCCTGAGGCTAGGGTCATTGAACCACTCCAACAACTTCTTGCCCACTTCCATTGGACTGGAAAGAAAGGTCCTGTAGGTCAAAAGGAAATCCTCTATAAAGGTTGGGTCCACCACTGAGTGCTCCTCCACCAAATGCATTGTTAACCTTTCTGACGTTCCCTATAACAAATAAAAGCTTAATTATTAGCTAGCATGAATGTTTTTTAAAATTTTCAGCTAACATCTTAATGGAACACTAAACACAGTAGTACCATAAAGCCTGTCCTATCAGCAATGTCTTAATACAAACATATCTTGGACCACTGTAATAAGAGATTCACTAACTTTAAAACATAACAAAAAAAATCACCTAACAGCAATTTTTTGTGTTTAATTTTAAATGAAAAAGAGCTTAAAAAACTATTCAAGAGTCTTTGGAAGACTATACTTCAAATATGTAGCTGAACTAATTCTGGACTTTGCTCACCAAAGGAAATCTCATACAAATCTATAAAGCATCTGTTTGACTGTTGGTTTTCTTTACCTTGATGACAATGTGACCCTTTCTTGTTCCAGTGCGATCAAGCTCCCTGTGCTCCTTTACCATAACTATCTCTCCCTCCTCTTCTACTTTCTGCATGTTTTTTTCCACTTGATTGAGGATGCGGCAGTAATCTTGTTGGGCTATGCACACAAACTGAAAAGAATCATCAGACACAGGTATTAAAAGGCAAAAATTACCAAGACGTCAGAAAACCTGTTACTTATATATAAGTATTCTACAATTATTGAAGAAAAAGTAATTTCTCAATCCATGGATGGCTAAAATTTTCTATGAACTTTGATAAAATAAACAGCTGAATAAGCAAGCATGATAATTCCACTATAATTTTTGCCTCAGGAGAGTGAAGATAAATTGATTCTAGATGATTTAATACCTCTATAGAATATTCATATAGTTGAATTTTCTCCTCCAATAAAAGTAAATACCACTTGCAAAATTTTCCTCAAAAGGAAACCTCCTCCTCCTCTTCAGGGCTCTTTACAAAGGAGAACAATAACAGGAAAGCCCTATCTAGAATTATGGTGCCAAAACCTCTATGGGAAAGCAAACTCACACTTTTATTCTTTGAGTTATCACAAATACATTGAGAACTCTACCATTCTAATTTATGAGTAACAAATACACAGAAAATAATGACTTTTAGATTAAAATATGTACATTCCAGCATGAACCACTCCCTTTCCATACAATACACCTGTTTAATAAATACCATTTTAAGGAAAACTGCCATTTATGAAAGAAATCAAAAGAATCTCCAACTTATATTTCAAGCAGAAACAAAACTGCTATATAAATATATTAACACCACTAGTTATACAGTTGGATAACTTAGGTATAACCACCTTTTGTGCTAGTCAAAATCTTATACTGTGTACATCAATTGGTGTTTCTGCAGAAATTCACTACAAGTACAATGATCGGACAAATGGTCCAAGCTGAATCTTTTCCTTTAAACCCAAATGTTTTATTCCTAGTGTTTTGGCCATGTAAATTCATTCATGCAGTAGCTGTGCATTTCATTTCATTACTAGGGGATATAAATCTCAAATTTGAACTGTAATAATAGTTACGAACAATTACCAAAAATTGAACTGCTATTTAATTTGCAATCATATTTACCAAACATAAGGGTAATGATAAATCATATTTGCCCCAATATAATTCAAAATTAATTTACACTTTTTTCAGGTCATAGAATCATAGAATACTAGGACTGGAAAGGACCTCAAGAGGTTGTCGAGTCCAGTTCCCTGCCCTCATAGCAGGACAAAATACTGTCTAGACCATCCCTGATAGACATTTATCTAACCTACTCTTAAATATCTCCACAGATGGATAGTCCACAACCTCCCTGGGCAATTTATTCCCACTGCTGCAGTTTAAGTCCATTGCTTCTTTTTCTATCTTAGAGGCCAAGATGAACAAGTTTTCTCCCTCCTCCTCAGGACATCCTTTTAGATACCTGAAAACGGCTGTCATGTCCCCCCTCAATCTTTGCTTTTCTAAACTAAACCAACCCAATTCTTTCAGCCTTCCTTCATAGGTCATGTTCTCTAGACCATTAATCATTCTTGTTGCTCTTCTCTGGACCCTCTCCAATTTCTCCACATCCTTCTTGAAATGCAGTGCCCAGAACTGGACACAATACTCCAACTGAGGCCTAACCAGCGCAGAGTTGAGCGGAAGAATGACTTCTCATGTCTTGCTCACAACACACCTGTTAATGCATCCCAGGATCATGTTTGCTTTTTTGCCACAGCATCACTCTGCTGACTCATATTCAGCTTGTGGGCCACTATAACCCCTAGATCCCTTTCTGCCATACTCCTTCGTAAACAGTCGCTTCCCATTCTGTATGTGTGAAATGATTGTTCCTTCCTAAGTGGAGCACTTCGCATTTGTCTTTATTAAACTTCATCCTGTTTACCTCAGACCATTTCTCCAATTTGTCCAGATCATTTTTAATTATGACCCTATCCTCCAGAGCAGTCGCGACCCCTCCCAGCTTGGTATCATCTGCAAACTTAATAAGCGTACTTTCTATGCCAATATCTAAATCGTTGATGAAGATATTGAACAGAGCTGGTCCCAAAACAAACACTGCGGAAGCTCACTAGTTATACCTTTCCAGCTGGATTGTGAACTGTTAATAACTACTCTCTGAGTACGGTTATCCAGCCAGTTATGCACCCACCTTATAGTAGCCCCATCTAAGTTGTATTTGCCTAGTTCATTGATAAGAATATCATGCGAGACCGTATCAAACGCCTTACTGAAGTCTAGGTATACCACATCCACCGCTTCTCCCTTATCCACAAGACTAGTTATCCTATCATCTCATAATTAATGTCAAATTTCAAGCACACAGTACTAAACAGAATATTCTAATTCACTTTACCAATGAACCTATTAGAAATGTGCTTAAAGATTTAAAGAATTTTGTTAGATATTGTGTAATTGAATAATCGTGTAACCACACGAAATCTTAGCAAGCCCGGATCGCGGCAAACAAAAGCTGCCTTACAGTAGCCTTTCTTGCTCCTCACCCCCACACTGCTACTTCTAATAGAGACAGCAGTGCGGGGGAGAGCAGTATGGAGGGGGAGCAGGTGGCACCCACAGAGCTGGTGCTGAGGGGGGCTGGTTTTTAAGCTGGCTCCCTCCAGCACCAGCTCCTGCCTGCACCTGCTTGCTGCCTCTGTAGGAGGTAGCAAAGGGGGGAGCAGGGTAGCAGGCAGGTCTGCCAAGCCATCACTTGCAGGGAAACTACTACAAAGCTATCTTCCTGTGTGTTTGGGTTCCAGCCTATCCTCCTCACCCTCCACACTGCTGTCTCTCTATCAGAGGCAGCAGTGTGGGAGGTTGGGGGGCAGGTGGATCCAGCGCTCATGGGGAGCCTGCTTTAAGCCAGCTCCTCATGGGCATTGCCCTCCCCTTGCTGCCTCTGATACAGATCATAGATAGTCAACTGATCATATATAGTCGACACGTTGACAACCCTACTCAAAGACCTCACCACAACTAAGCACAAAACCATTCTTGCATTTAAAATGAAAGAAAAGAGGGAACCTGATTTCTGAAAAAATTTCCTGGAGAGAAAATATCCATTAAAAATTATTCTAAAGAGCTATCCCAAAACCCTTCTCTGTAGCCTACCAGGTATACTTAATATGACCTCTGTCAAACATTTTTTAAAATATAGGCTCACTTGTAATGACAGTATTATATAATTTATAATTCTGTTTTGCAAATGTATATAGTGTAAAATACTCTACCTGGCAGTCATCCACTTTGGTTCTCATCACTCCTTTCATGTATTCCTTGTCCATGGTAGGGGAAACACCAAAACTATTTCCCATACATAGTATCTCTGTTCTTCCATCAGGATGTGTCACTTCCACAGAACCATTCAGTATCACTGACCATGAATCCAGCTAGAAATTGAATAGTGAAGGATAGGTCAAAAGAACCACCATCTACTCACTTAACATATTTGCATGGTACTTACTGCAAAAACACTAGGAACTTTTTAAAAGTTAGTTTCATTTTAGCAACTATTCATGAAAACAAAGAACTAGTTTACCTGAAAAAATATAACTCCTTCCATCTCCTTAAGGGATCTAATATTTAACATTTAATAAATTATTGGAATTACGTTTTTTTTTCACACAAAAAACCCATGGAAGTATTTAAATAACATTAAAAGCTCAAAATGAAAAGCATTTGAAATCAGCTCTGGCCATTATTAATGTATGTGTTTGTATAGCCTTTATTAAGAATATTTTTTTAAGTTCTACTGCCTGGGTCTTGTAAGTTGATCTGAGTGTTTAAACTGAAAAATAATTTGTAAACTGAACTAAATAAAAACCATAATCAACATAAAACAAAATAGGCATTCAAATGATTTACTTCCTAGTGCTACTTTTCAGCAACTAGAAACAAATATCTAAATTTAAAAAAAAACATTTCCACATTCTGTGATATCTGCACAAAAAGTAAAGTTTACTGACCTCTTCCCCATCGTTTAATACTATGGTTCCTGCCCTCTCCACAACTGCAAATACCATCACAGCACAAAGTTCTCTCCTCACTGACATTGTCATGTTGGCAAAAGCAGGCAACTGATGCATGAATTCCAATAGTTGTTCTGAAAGAATTAAAAAGTCCACAGTCACACAAGTCAATACAACAAACTAAGTAAAGGCTGTTATTCAGAAAAATGCTTCAGAATTCTTAAGTTCAAGTACTATACAATGTACTCTGTATACTGATAAATAATGTACAGAGGTAGTTATAATTATGTGGTTTTGGAGACAAACTAGCTTATATCATCAATGGAAGATCTATAGAGTTAAAATACTGGTATAATGAAAATATTATAATGTAACAAATGTGTCCTGAATACATGCCACAGAATCATTGTAATACTTCTATTAATACAATGTTAGACCTTTAAAATAGAAGAAATTAAGTTTTTGGAGAATGCTGGGGATAAGTTCCTGGTATAAGTGCCAAAGGAACCAACCAGGAGCCATGCACAGCTTGACTTGCTGCTTATAACCAAGGAAGAATTAGTAGGGGAAGTAGATGTGAGTGGCAACCTGAGAAGCTGTGATCATGACATGGTCAATTTCAGGATCCTGACCCAATGAAGAAAGGAGAGCAGCAAAATACACACCTGGGACTTCAGAAAAGCAGACACTGACTCCCTTAGAGAACTTATGGGCACAATCCCCTGGGATGCTAACATGAAGGGGAAAGGAGTCCAGGAGAGCTGGCAATATTTTAAAGAAGCCTTATTGAAAGCATAGGAACAAACCATCCCAATATGCCATAAGAAAAGCAAATATGGTATGTGACCAGCTTGGCTCAACAGTGAAATCCTTAGTGAGCTTAAACACAAAAAGAAAGCTTACAAGACATGGAAACATGGACAGAGGACTAGGAAGGAGTATAAATATACTGCTCAGGCATGCAGGAATATAATCAGGAAGGCCAAAGCGCAATTGGAATTGCAGCTAGCAAGGGATGTGAAGGGTAACAAGAAAGGTTTCTACAGTCATGTTAGCAATAAAAGGGTGATCAGGGAAGGTGTGGTACCCTTATTGAATGAGGAAAGTAACCTAGTGACAGATGATGTGGGAAAAACTGAAATACTCAATGCCTTTTTTGCGTCTATCTTCACAGACAAGGTCAGCTCCCAGGGCTACTGCACTAGGCAACACAGGATGGGAAGGAGGTGGGCTTATTTAGAAAGGTTGGACATACAGCCCTAGGTGGGCTTATTTAGAAAAGTTAGATATATGCAAATGCATGGGGCTGGATTCAATGCATTCAAGGATGCTGAGGGAATTGGCTGATGTCATTGCAGAGCCACTGGCCATTATCTTTGAAAACTTGTGGAGATCAGGGAAGGCCCCAGACAATTGAAAAAAGGCAAAAGTAGTGCCCATCTTTTAAAAAAGGAAGAAGGACAATCCAGAGGACTATGGAACAGTCAGCCTGACCTCAGTCCTTGGAAAAATCATGGAGGGGATCCTCAAGGAATCCATTTTGAAACACTTAGAAGAGAGGAAAGTGATCAGGAATATTCAACATGGATTCACCAAGGGCAAGTCAGGCCTGACCAACCTGATTGCCTTCTATGATGAGGTAACTAGCTCTATGGACATGGAGAAGGCAGTGGACATACCCTGACTTTAGCAGTCAAGGTCTCCCACAGCATTCTTGCCACCAAGTTAAGGAAGTATGAATTGGATAAATGGACTGTAAGGTGGACAGAAAGCTTGCTAGATTGTCGGATTCAATGGGTAGTGATTAATGGCCCGATGACTGGTTGGCAGTTGGTGTCAAGTGGAGTGCCCCAGGAGTCAGTTTTAGGGCCAGTTTTGTTCAACATCTTTATTGTATTAATGACCTGCATGAGGGGATGGATTGCACCCTTAGCAAGTTTGCAGATGACGCTAAGCAAGAGGGAGAAGTAGATGTCTTAGATGGTATGGCCCACGAAAGCTCATCACCTAATATACCATCTTGTTAGTCTTTGAAGTGCTGCATAGTCCTGTCTTTTGTTTCAGTAGACCAGATTAACACAGCTGCATCTTATCACTATTCTTAGATGGTAGGAATAGGGTCCAGAGTGATCTAGACAGATTAGAGGCTTGGGCCAGAAGTAATCTGATGAGGTTCAACAAGGACAAGTTCAGAGTTTTGCACTTGGTACGGGAAAATACTCAGCACTGTTACAGGCTGAGGACTGACTGGCTAAGCAGCAGTTCAGCAAAAAAGGACCTGGGGATTACAGTGGATGAAAAAATGGATATGAGTCAACAGCGTGCCCTAGTAGCCAAAAAGGCTAATATCATATTAGGGTGCATTAGTAGGAGCGTTGCCAGCAGATCTAGAGAAGTGATTATTCCCCTTTATTCAGCACTAGGGAGGCCACATCTGGAGTTCTACATCCAGTTCTGGGCCCCCCCATTACAGAAAAGATATGGATGCACTAGAGAGGGTCCAGCAGAGAGCAACGAAAATTATCAAGGGGCTGGAGCACATGACCTACGAGGAGAGGATGAGGGATTTGGGCTTATTTAGTCTGCAGAAGAGAAGAACGAGGGGGAATTTGATAGCAGCCTTTAACTACCTGAAGGGGTATTCCAAAGAGGATGGAGACAGGCTGTTCTCAGTAGCAACAGATGGCATAACAAGGAGCAATGGTCTCAAGTTGCAGTGGTGGAGTTCTAGTTTGGGTATTAGGAAAAACTGTTTCAATAGGATGGTGGTAAAGCACTGGAATGGGTTATAGAGGGAGGTGGTGGAATCTCCATCCCTAAGTCCTGGATTGAGATAGCCCTGGCTAGGATGATTTAATTAGGATTTGTCCTACTTTGGGCAGGGGACTAGACTTGATGACCTCCTGAGCTCTCTTCCAGCCCTATGATTCTAAGTTTTTAAAAGTGGCAGTATTCTATACTCAAGCTGTCTACTGGACAACAAAAAAGTATAACAATATTAAGATAAACCCATACAAAAAACAACATTTAAAGATACATTAAGACAATCAGATGAGACACACTTTTATGAAGTTGTCTGTTTGTTATACTCCTATCCTTAGCCAGACTTTCTGGTTCTAAATTTTGCAGTGCTGTGCTATAAAATATCACAAATTGTAAAGAAGACCCTGGTAAGAAGGTCCAATTAAAAGTATGGCAACTGTAATCTGAAGAGGGGATATAAAATCCCATTTAATTAGTTAACCCATTAAACATTAAGTTTAACTGGTTAACCAATTAAACGGAGATGGGCCGGGGGGGAGGAGGGTTTGCTACTGCCCAACGTGGCCAGAGTGCCGCCCCATGCAACGGGAAGGGACTCCTCTGGCCAGACTGGATCACCCCTGCACGTAAGGCCAGCTGAGGGTAGGTCCACTCTATTCAGGCTGGAGCATCCCTACCCATGGCGGGCAGGGAGCTGCTCTAGCCACCCACACCCCAATTAACCATTCACATCCCTAATCTTAAGTGACTCTTCCAGAGTCTTAAACCATCGTGTTTTATCTGCTCCTTTTATTAACTCCTGTTAGTACTGCAAAATCAACACAGACCTAAGAGACCTAGCCATTCTGCTGAGGAGTCACAAATATAACAAAAAATTCTGCTTTTAGTCACACTTAAGGAACCCCAATAACGAAGGAACATTTGAAGACAATGGCCTTGCACAGGTATAACTAAGGGTGAAGAATCTGTCCTGCAGTACTTGTGATAACACACGGGCACTCTTAGCAGCACAGGGAAGATCGAACAACTCCATAAGCAGGGCTGTCCCAAGGTGGGTGCCGGGCCAGAGGCAGCTCCACCCAGGCTCCACTCTTGCCCCAACTCTTCTCCAAGCTCTGCCCCTGCATCCTCTCCTCCAAGCAACATGACCCAAGAGATTTATGGGGGGCCTGGTGCAGCAGCAGCGGTCGCTCCTCCCCGCCCCACGAAGTAGGAGATGGGAGCCAGAGCACAGAAGCATAGAGCCACTCCAGCTCCCACTGACCATGTGGTGAGCGTGGGGAGTTGAGGGGGGGGAATGCACCTCTGCTATTGCCCTGCACCAGGGCCCCTGTTATCACCTAGGTCCCTATGGACAGATGAGGAAACTACCTTCGGCTCTCAAAAAGCATGGGATCTGGGATACAACAGCCAGGGCATGTGGGCAGCCAGCTTTTAAGACAGCTTTCTGCACACGTCAGCTCCCGTGGAGCGACGTGCCTCCCTGATGCCTCTCCCAGAGGCAACTATGCGTGGGACAGGTGGGAGCCAGTGCTCAAGTGGAGCCAGCTTAAAAGTGAGCACTGGATCCTGCAGAGAGGCAGCAGCGAGGAGGGGGAGAGGACAGGCGGGAGCCAGTACACATGGGGAGCCAGCTTTCAAGTCACCTTCCTGAACATACTGGCTCCCGCATCCCCCTTTCTTCCTGCCTCTGATGGAGGCAGCAAGTGGTGTGTGTGCACGGGTAGTCATTTGGATTAACAAATAAACCCATTTAAATGACTATATGCTTAATGACTATATGCTGACATCCCTACTCTATCCAAAGCCTAAGTAGAGTGGATCTGTGTAACAAATATCTAACTTTGTGTGTAATTAATCATTTTAAATACTAAATGGTTGGTTTAGAATAAATAATTATGGTAACAATAACAGTTAATCTGAAACCAAAATTAATGAAGCAATTCAATTTTTATTTTAAACTAGGTACTCTATTGTCAAAGTGGTACAGTGCAGATTTTAGGTTGCAAATTAAAGTGACAAAAATATACTCTTAACCAGCTTTTAATATAGAACTCGCTCACAAGACAGCAGTCTGGGTTGGCACGTGGTTCATCGGGGGGGACTGTAGGTGGGAGCGCAAGTTAGAGAATGTTAAATATTAATGTCCTGAGGTTCAATTTCCCATTCTCTCCTGCTAGTTTTCATGCCAACTTACCAATATCATCATCTGTCCTGTCTATTGGGTCTTTCTCCAAGCAGTCTCTAACAATATCTCTGCTCATCAGAGGGTCTGATGCCCTCTCAATATCTTCTTCATCATCATCATCCTCTGAATCCACTGCAGTCTCTGGTAACCCACTCAGATCCATGTCACCAGCCTCACTTTCTGTGGCCTATATACACATACAAATATTTCAAATTAAAATATTCATGTGTCCTCTAAAGCCATTCTTTCCCACTTAAAAACATGTAAATTAAGTGAATTTTACTCTGCTTTGTGGAAGATAAATTAATCATTTTTGACATACCACTTTTGTTATTTTTTACCATCATTATTTCTAAAGAAAGCAGTCAGTAATTTTTTGAAACAGAATGTCATTGGCAAGATTTAATGTTGGTATGAATAATATAGATATGTATATAACTGTATGGTATGTGTCTTCTTAGGCAACAGGACTAAGGAGAAGAAAGGGACAATTTAAATTCACCAGGCAGTTCTTTGGAACACAAGAACAGAAAACATTATTAACAATTCATATTGTTAAATAAAACTTAGAGATCCAAAAATTAGTATTTGCAGGTACTTATCAATGTGGTACATGTAATACTGTCATTAGTTTAGAGGGAATATTGGCATCTACCAGTACTATCAAAATACCACTAGACTAAAATAGCAGCTGCATAAGAAAGCTCAGCAATGAAGTGAAGCTAGGGTTTTTATTTATTTATAGGTAAGAATTTACAGATGCGGAAAACATGTGAAGTCAGTGCTCCAGCACCACAGAGGGAATTTTCAGAATATCTGGCAAATTTAAATTGCTTTCAATCCTATGAAAATGAACAAAAATCTGGCCAACACACAGTTCAAGGTCATTAGTATAGCACAGAGGTAAATACATTTTAATTATTCATTTTTAAGACCAAACATTTAATAAAGCCCATAAACATATTTGCCTGTCATCTCAGATTGAGCAGCTTTTCTCTCAGAACTTGATTTCATACCAAAGTAGCTGCTAAACCACTGTGATTTAAAAAAAAAAAAAAAAAGCTTCTAAGGAGAATATTCTAAGACACTTTTCCAAAAGCAGAACTCTCTGTCCCCAAAGGATTGTTAATTTCAGAGATTCTGGAGGTCAACGGCACAGCCAAATATATTTTTAAAAAATTCATCTGGGCACATTAGACTTTATACTTACGATCCTCAAGAAACATCCCTTGTGCAAAACAATGAGCTTTATGTTGAAAAGAACTGAAGCCAGTTCCAAAAAGAGTAAAAGGGAAAACAATATCTTCTTTCTTTTATACAAACAGTCTCTTCTTTGATAAAGTAAAATAAAATAATTTTACTCTATTTTCCTCTCTTCTTCTGACAAAAACATCAGCCTTAGTTTAACAAGACTGCTCAGTATAAATCAACGATACATTTAAAATGGTAGCAGGGTAACTCAACAGTTCCTATAGGAATCTCTGATTCTGTTAGCGTTAATTCAGGTTACTGAGCCACTGACTAATTCATTGGTTTGATTTGCAAATCTTGATAGCGCTAGCAAAAATCACTCCTACTCATCAGAACAAGGCTAAGTTTTTCAAAAAGACTCATGGTTAACAAATTTGCTAAATTTCAGTTAGCCTTGTTATACTAAAACAGAGAGACAAGAAATACTTAGTTTAAAAACTATCCATTAAAACCTCTTAATATCACTGCAATAACAAAAATGCAACAGATTTTTTTAGGTATTACATGCTGCTCAAGCAAAGGTGAAGGTGAAAAACAGAATATTATCTTTTTTTATTTTATTCTTTTAGGGTTTTTAAATGTAATCTTAAAATATTACAAGTTTTCCCCACTCTCTTTTTAGAAAAATCTATTGTGACGGACATAAACCTCTCAGGCCATAAAACCCTCTTTTTCCTGGAGAACTCTGACATCCTTTGGAGGACTGTGAATGTGACACTGCTTATGGATGACAGCCTATTGATGAGGAATAGGATGATCATATTCAATTTTTAAGACTCAATAACACTGCTCAGTTAGCAGCTGGAAGATTTAAAACCCAGATTTCAGCTATGTCACAATCTCACTTATAAAAGAGAAGATAATGAGGATCAGGTATTTCTATCATAAAACCAAGCAGAAAAGTGAGGTCATCTTTTCACAAACCACAAAGGAGCTGTACAGTGATTATTTAAAATTATATTTCTCCTTCTAGTAATTCTGTCTTCTTAGGTTAGTCAGATAACAGACATGATTCTGTTCTCTAGAAAGCAGATGCTGATCAAATATTACATTTTAGCAGAAATGAAAAAGTTAGACAACAAGAATGGTCTCTTTTTGAAGAGTGTCATCGGTATGTGAAATAAATCACAGCAATCATCAAGGAACTGAAAGCTATTATAATAAAGGAAGACATTGGAAAAGTAGATTTTCAAAGAGGCATAATGGATTCATTTCAAATTCTGGTGGTCAAAATGTATGAGGACTACAAAGAAAGTAATTGCATTTACCACCTTGAATACTCTCTTTAAAGGGAAGTTACTTTCCTTATTACAACTGGCACTCTTCAAGATGTGTAGTCCCTGCAGGGATATACATTAATGGCAAGCACCTGATATTGAGAAGGTATTGCAAGCTATTTTTGCTGGACCACACCTACACACTTGCTATGTTTAGGTAAAGGGACAGGACAGATCGAATGCCTCTCCAGTTGCTTCTCCTCTACAAATCATGTCATGATCCAAAGCAAAGGGAAGTTTGCTGGTTCCTATATATATATATATATATATTTTTTTTCCCAGTATGGGGAACTCACAACAAGTACTCAGGGTCGGAGGGCAAAATAATGACGTTTATAGAGCTTTTTTAGAATCACAGCCCCAAAGGATGTGTCAGTGAAATAGTCTTGGGCCAATGCATAATGTCTAATGAATGTGGGGCTCAGACGCCATATAGCTGCTCTCTAAATATCAAGCAGGGACACCTCTTGAAGTAATGCTAAATAAGGCTGCATGTACTCTTGTAGTATGCACCCTTACCTCATGAGGAAAAGGAAGCTGCATCAGTTACAGTAAGAATTCATGATTCTTTACATGGATATAGTTTGTCTTCACACTCATTATGCTATGGCAACCAACCATCTAGGAGATTTCCAAATCTGTTTTGTTCTCTGAAGGTAAAATGTCAATGATACCTCATGTTGACGGAATGAAATCTCTACTTGCAAGAGGCATGGGGCTTCAGGAAAAATGCAGGTGTATAAATTAACTGATTTTTGTCCTCATGCTCAGCTACTCTTCTGAGCAAGGTAATGGCCATGATGGAGGTGATGTTCTCTGACAAGGGAGATCCAGAACACATACCTAATGGTTCAAATGGTGGCCTATTGAGTACTGAAAGCTTAAGATCTCCATGAGGATTTTCCCCCACTCCCAGTTGCAAGGCTTTAATCATAATATAAAAGTTAATGAAATTAATAGGTAGCAGGTTTAAAAGAAAAAGAAGTTTTTCTTCATACAGCGTACAACCTGTAGAACTACTTGCCAGAGAATATTGTGAAGGACAGGACTTGAACACAGGTTCAAAAAAGAGCTAGATAAATTCATGGAGGTAAGGTTCATCAATACTTATTATTCAGGATGGGTGAGAATGGTGTCCCTAGCCTCTGTCTGACAGAGGCTAGAAATGAATCACAGGAGAGGGATCACTTGATTACCTGTTCTGTTAATTCCATCTGGGGCATATGGCATTGGCCACTGTTGGAAGACAGGGTACTGGGCTAGATAGAACTTTGGTCAGACCCAGTATGGCCATTCTTATGTTCTATCAGACCCCTGAACAACCTAGCTGTTACGGGATGAGTAAAAATCAAATAACCATCTATTGGCACATGACAAACACTGATTGCACATATGTGAATCCATATCAGGCCTTGAGAAAGGCCTGTCACATTGAGAACAAGGAGATAATAGCAGACTTATCCACTGTCTTTGGTAACCAGAAACGAATCCACTTGGCTACATAACATTTCCTGATGGGGTCCTTTCTGATATTAAGAATGGCTTGTATAACATGAATATTTTCAGTATTATGCCCATCCGAATACCAAGGCACGAGGTGAAGAGAATCCAGATTTTGATTTGGGAAAGCAGAACTATATGGGTAATTTGGGGGCGTTTAAATAATACATGCTTTGTCCAGTCCAATTCACCACAGTACCTACTTCTGATAGTTGTTGGATGGGAAGAAAGAGAGTTCAGGGGCTCTCTGTGATACTGTCACTGAACTCCTCTGGCACAGTAAAGGTTGTGTTACCTGTTTGCTTAGCAGGCAACAGGTCCTGAGTGAGGTTCCCTGAGAAGTGAAGATGCTATCCACTGGTGAATTGTGTAATTCCCACTGTGGCAAAATGCCTGCTGAAGTTACCTTGTCAATGAGTTTTGAACTCCCAGAAAATAAACTGCTAACAGGTGAGATGGTTCCAGATACACCAATTCCATAAATAGACCTCTTCTATAGACAGGCGAGGGCTCTCTTGTTTATATAGAAAACAACAGTTACACTGTCCAATATTATCATGCCAGGAGTATATGAGTGGTAAGAAAATGTTAAAGGTTTCTCAGACTGCTCTCAGTTCTAGAAGAGCTATGTGCATTGTGGATTTGAGAGGTATTAAAGTACCTTGTACTGCATGACTGTTTATGTGGGTTCCCCAGCCCATCAGAATGTATCTAATCATCCTCTAGACCAGTGTTTCCCAATTAGTGCTCCGCGAAACCATGGGATTCCGCGAAAATAGGGGAACCAGCACTCCCTCAACCCCCTCTGAAAGAGAGTGTGACAGCTGGCCAGCTTCTTAAAGAAGCAGCACGCTTGTTTCCCCTTCCTCCCTGGCAACAGAGAGGTATAGCGAGGTGGGGGGCAGAGGAGAATAGTTGCTCCCAGCTGGCACACTAGGGGGGTGCTGGACGGGGGTATCCCCACGTGACCCACAGCGGTGAGAGAAGCACTTCCCCTTCCCAAAGAAGCCAGTGTGCGCTGCCTGAACAGCTGGGGCTGTAGCACCCGGTAACTTAGTTCTGTGGCCTTTCTGCGCAGGGTGGGGGGGGGAGATATGGGGAGGTCAGGAGACCCGGGTCTGCGTAGCTCCAACTGTGCAGGCAGCGTCCTCTGCCCTGG